CTTTTTCTTTTCTTGATGAAGTCTTGCTCTGTTGCCCAGGCTGGAGTGCAATGGCACGATCTTGGCTCACTGCAACCTCCACCTCCCTGGTTCTAACAATTCTCCTGCCTCAGCCTCCTGAGTAGCTGGGACTACAGGTACACGCCACCATGCCCAGCTAATTTTTGTATTTTTAGTAGAGGGGGGTTTCACTGTGTTGATCAGGCTGGTCTTGAACTCCTGACCTCAAGTGAGTGGCCTGCCTTGGCCTCCCAAAGTGCTGGGATTACAGGCATGAGCCATTGCGTCCGGCTTCAAAACACCAAATCTTATTAAATCTACATTCTACAGTTTTCTTTTTCTTTTTTTTTTTTTTTAAGATGGGGTTTCGCCATGATGGCCAGGCTGGTCTTGAACTCCTGACCTTAGGTGATCCAACCACCTCGGCCTCCCAAAGTGCTAGGATTACAGGCATGAGCCACAGCGCCTGGCCATTCTACAATTTTCTCACATGCATCACTTCATCTCTGTCCACTTCTAGCACTGACTTAGCTGAGGACATCATCAACTCTGATCAAAGGACTCAAAGTCTAAGTAATAATACCAGTTTCACGGCAGGCTTTCCCTGGAAACAGGCTGGACATAATGATAATTTTCAAGAGAATGTGAATTGCTCTGTACTTGATTTTGTTTTTGTTTTTTTTTTTTTTGAGATGGAGTCTCACTTTTGTTGCACAGGCTGGAGTGCAATGATGCTATCTCAGCTCACTGTAACCTCCATCTCCTGGGTTCAAGTGATTCTCCTGTCTTAGCCTCCCAAGTAGCTGGGATTACAGGTGACTGCCACTATACCTGGCTATTATTATTATTTGTACTTTTAGTAGAGATGAAGTTTTGCCATGTTGGCCAGGCTGGTCTTGAACTCCTGACCTCAGGTGATCCACCCGCCCCAGCCTCCCAAAGTGCTGGAATTACAGGCATGAGCCACTGCACCCGGCCAGTTTTCTTTTCTTTAAGCCTAATCTGAAAGTGGGGAAGTCTGTGTGCCTGAAATGATTACATTTTGATATTGATCTGAAAAAGTTGTGTACTACTTTGCCCCAGTTTCCCAAACCAACAAAGACATTCCAAAAAGTTTCCTAAGGGGCCTAGTAAGTTTGGCCTTCGAAGAATAGTGGCAGCAGTGTTAACTTTGTCATATTACCCAAAGGTGTCAAAGCTGTTACTAAACTCTGGGACAGTTTCGGAAACCCCATCAGCACTGGAAAATTCCCTATGGCCCTTCCAGACCGTGGTCACAGTCAGAACCAAATTTTGTTGCCCTGACCCTGTGGGGAAATCCCCAAGACAGCTGCTGATAGGTAAGGTAACAGTGTCCTGCCATGGCTTGATCCTAGGTTGGGTGAGAGCGATTGGGTCAGACAGGCTGCGCTTCCTCACAGTGAGTGTTTACATACCTGTTCGCACTGCCTATCCTTTCCTCACCCAATGTGAGGGCAGGGGGCTCAGTTGAGCGGAGGGGAGAATCCATGGAACCTTTCCACGGTCAAGGCCCAGAGCTTCTATTGTGTAGTGGCCTGGGAGCAGAGAACAGGAGGCAGTCAAGGCCCCAGCTTCAACCTTTGACAGTAAACCAGAAAAGACCAAGTAGTCAGAGCCTCCACTGTCTTACACCAGTCAAGAGACCAGGTCTTAGACTCCCCAGTGCACCTTCCTCTCTGCCGTCACGGTGCGGAATTTGGAGAATGAGCACTTGTCATACGAGGCGTAGATGTGGGCAGAAGAGTGAGAAGGGTAAAGGTAGGACACAGACGTTCCCACTAAGCTAGAGACTCCTGGACGGCCATAGCCATGACATACACAGGCTGTCCTCAAATCCCAGGGCCATGGGCAGGTCTTAGATATCTTTGGAATTTTAAATTGGTTGGCATCTGTCTAGTTTTAATCCTGATTTAGGTTCAGTTCAGCCAGAGAGTATGATTCTTTTTTTTTTTTTTTTTTTTTTTTTTTGAGACGGAGTTTCGCTCTTGTTACCCAGACTGGAGTGCAATGGCGCGATCTCGGCTCACCGCAACCTCCGCCTCCTGGGTTCAAGCAATTCTCCTGCCTCAGCCTCCTGAGTAGCTGGGATTACAGGCACGCACCACCATGCCCAGCTAATTTTTTTGTATTTTTAGTAGAGACGGGGTTTCACCATGTTGACCAGGATGGTCTCGATCTCTCGACCTCGTGATCCACCCGCCTCAGCCTCCCAAAGTGCTGGGATTACAGGCTTGAGCCACCGCGCCCGGCCCAGAGAGTATGATTCTTTGGGGAGAGGGCCCTGACCTGGAAAACTACATGCTCAGTAGTCTGCTCAGCCACTAATGGCTCTGAGATACTGGAGAGTCACTCACCCTCTGAGAATTTCAGACTGTATCTCTGAAAACAAAATTCAGCGGATGAGGACAGCGGGTGCAAAGGTATTGTCCTCCACAGCTCGAAGTCATTGCCACTTCTAACTCACAGAGTACCTATCACAAGGGTCCCACCATCCATCGTGGGTCTAAGCAGGGAGAGACTTTGGCAGACCATGAAATCTGTGTTAGTTTCTAGGGCTGCTATAACAAAATACCACAGACTTGGGGTTTCAACCGAGATTGCACCGCTGCACTCCAGCCGGGGTGACAGAGTAAGATCCTGATTCGAAATCAGTCAATCAGTGGGAGCACTCTGAGATGGGTAACTCAAAGGAGTGGTTAGAATTTGAGATCTACCTAACAGTAGGGGAAAAAAAAGGCGGGATAAAGGACATATGGAAAACCAAATGATTTTTGGAAAGATAAATGGGTCCTTAGCAGAATAGATGGAAGATTCGAGTCATGTGACAATGTCTGTTTGGGTGTGGCGTCAATGTCTCACTTCTGAGATAAGATTTGCTTCTAGTCCAGGAGAAGAGTTATGACAACTAAGTTAAAAATTTGAGATATGTGAGGAGGTTCTGCTATTAAACAGGTAAGGGAGTTTCGGAATTTGAACGCTTTCAGCTGAAAATAATTCTTAAGCCCAAACTGGCACATTTGGAGGTCGCATATTCTGAGCCCCTTAAAAAGGGACAACATAAACACCGTATCTCTGATTCTGCCCAGGGTCCTGTGCCCTCTGGCACCAGGAATCACCAGTTCTCTCTGCCTTGTTTTGGGGTTTTCTCATGCTGCTATTTCGTTATGTCTTTTCCACTAGTATTTAAAAGCAATCAAACACAGGAACTTTTCCTTTTATATACTATTATTGAGCTTACGCTGGTCACTGAACTAAATGTTTTTCCAAAAAGAATAAACAAAAATCACTGCCAGTCAGGAACACACAGACAAAATGGTGGAGTACTAAGACGAAAAGAGATGTGAAATAAAGTGATAGATTCTGCAAGAGTTACTGAAGAGTCAGAAAAGGGCATGTTTCCTCTATGCCCTGAAGCAGTCAAGGGAGAGGAAGATCTGTGTTGTCCATGCTGGGGTGTTGGCTTAGGCAGGTAGATGCTGTGATGGGTGGTGGAACCGTTCAACAGGCAGACTTGAGAGCCAGCTTTACGCGGAAAGAGAACTGCTCTGTCATCCTCCGTGGGTCACATCCTGGAGATTCGAAGTTTAAACATTTTGATTTGGGGAGATTTAGAGTTTTGAGCTTAAAATGACTGAAGAGCCCCCAGATGGGTTTGCATGTTTTAGTCTAGAAGTCTGAACATAGATTTAATACTTATGAGCATACAGAAGGTGGAGCCAAGGGAGAGATTAAACAGGGCACGGAAGTTATTAAAAATATTCGTCGGGGGAAAAAAAACTACAAAACACGATTCTTTCAGCGGAAACCGGGACCTTTTCTCAGACTCCCCTACAGAGGGCCCTGATAAAGTAATCAACATGTGAACAGTAAGAACCCCAACCAATTTCATAGCGCAGTTTCTGGTAATTACTCCCAGTATGGAGCGGACAGTCCTCTTGCAAGACCCAATTTGGCGAACTGCTGGCTCCACGTGGGGCCTCCAAAGGACACCGTGGGGCACCCAATCCTGGCTGAGAACGAAGGCCGATTTAGAGGATCTGCAGAAAGGAATGCACAGAACATGCCTCAGTCTTCCCTATGCTGGCAGCAGGCCCTCCATATACGCCGGTTCCTCAAGATCCAAAGTATCAAACAAATGAATTGTTTTAAAACCCAGTACAACAAAAGATAGTAAAAATTAAAACTGCATAACAGTTACTTACATAGCATTTGCACTGGGTTGGGCGTTATAAAGTAATTTAGAGACTATTCGCAGTACGCGGGAGGTCGTGCATAGCTCCACGCGAATCCTACGCCATATTCTACAAGGGACCTGAGCATCCCGGACTTGGGTGTCGGCGGGAGCCCTGGAACCTGTCGATCCCCCTCAGAGACGGAGGGAGAACCGCGTTGTTTCTCCCAGCACGGCTCTGACCGAGGGTTGGGATTCGCCGACCCCCACGAGAAAGCCCGGCGGCGCTGAGACGTGTTCCCGGGACCAGATCTCTCCCGGGTGAGCGAAAGCAGAGCGGCTCGGTCCGCCAAAGCGGCCCAGGGCCGGGCATGTCGGCGAACCCGCCCCCTCCCGCCGGCCCCGGCGCCCGCATCCCCGGCACCGCCGCCCTTGAGGTCGCCCCTCGCGTGTCCGCCTCCTCGGCGGAGCGGCGCTTCCTGCGGTTCCGAATAAGCGCGGCTGGGAATCCGTCCGTCGGGACCGAACGCCGAGCGGGCGCGCCCCTGCCGGCCGCCGGCCTCCGCCGGCTCCTCCCGGGGCGCCCTGCAGACCTTCCCGTGGCCTCGGTGCGACGCCTTCCGGGCGGCCTCAGACCGGACACGGGCCGAAGCCAGAACCCGGACGCCGCGGGGTGGGAGCCGAATTCCCCCGAGGACTGTGGCGTAGTGACGAAGGGGGGGAAATAAAAAAGGGTGAGAGTGAGAGGGACCTGAGAAGGAAGCGGAGGAAAACAGAAAAGAAGTGACGACATGTCGAGAGGGCGGGGACAGCCGAGAACGCTTCCCGCCGGCGCGCTTTCGGTTTCCAATCCGGTCCGGTAGTCTTGTATATGAGGGGAGGGCGGCCCTCGCCCGGCCAGAAGCTGCTCCCGGCTGCAGCGATCATGTCCGGCAGAGGGAAGGGCGGAAAGGGCCTCGGCAAAGGGGGCGCCAAGCGCCACCGCAAGGTCTTGAGAGACAACATCCAAGGCATCACCAAGCCGGCGATCCGGCGTCTAGCTCGGCGTGGCGGCGTGAAGCGGATCTCCGGGCTGATCTACGAGGAGACCCGCGGCGTGCTGAAGGTGTTCCTGGAGAACGTGATCCGGGACGCCGTCACCTACACGGAGCACGCCAAGCGCAAGACCGTCACGGCCATGGACGTGGTGTACGCGCTCAAGCGCCAGGGCCGCACCCTCTACGGCTTCGGAGGCTAGGCCGCCGCGCCGCCTCTGCACGGTGCCATCCCAAAGGCCCTTTTCAGGGCCGACCACTTGCTCATCTGAGGAGCTGAGCGCTTGACTCAAGTACCGCAGGAACTAGGCTGGAACGTGGCATTGTCGGTGGGGAGGCGATCGGATCTCAGGTTCACAGAAAGCTGCTGTCATAAAACTCGCAGCCTTAAAGGACTTCGGTGCTTCACCTTTTGCTTGTCTGACCTGATTTTACCCTTTATCGATGCGAAGCGGTGAACGTGCTCTCGGTTTCAGCGCTGCTCTCTCGGTTCGCTCTGGTGCACTGCAGGCACACCTAGGGGGACACGTCATTTGCGCTGGCAATTTAAACGTCCCTTGCTGTGGAATCTCACTATTCGCTCAGGCAAACTGGGGAAAGTGCCTTAGATCTCACAGTCCAGAGATGCCGGCTCTCACCCGATAACGTTCAGGTTTCGTCAATTCACCTTTTTGGCCTTCATTTTCCCCTCTGCATGACCAGCGGGTGGACTACGTGCCTTAGTGTAAGGGTCCATTCATGTTACATGATGTCTTAAGACACGCACTCGACTCACTTCAAATAAAAGTGCGAGTTTGCAGAACCCAATCTAATTATCTTTGCACAGCTGAAAAGCGCGCTTCTGGCAAGTTAGTGCCCAGTGCCTGAAAAGGATCATTTCCTACGTTTAAGGAAAAGGCCCCTTAACTTAATCAAGGACCTGTGAAATGACCGTCTCAGTTGTGGCATTGCACGGATATAAATGCAGAGACATTTTAATGTGATCCTTCTATAAAAGTGACTCAAGGATATGATCTTCAAGCAACTTCAAGAAACAGGTCATCCAGGTATGTGACTTCCACCTCTTAGGGCCTGTTGTAGCTAAGAATGAGACCTGCAGAAACGTGCCCACCATCAATACAGAAAGCACAATTCAATTTTGATAAGGTAAAAGACAATTACCCTAAATCAGCATGGCCTAGATCACAGAAAGCTGTTCTCTGCAATTCTACACTATCACCTCTAGGTTGCCTTAATTTGGATTGAAATGAGGGTTCACGTTTTGCAGCCGTTGCATTACCCGTAAGTTTATATATTTATTTATTTATTCACTTAATTCATTATTATTATTATTTGCATTCTAGGCTTATGGTTTTACAGCAAAATTGGACTGTATGTATATGAGAGAATAAAATCTGTCAGCTCCCAAACGATAAACCAGTAGTTGCTTTATTGGTCATCAGACGTGGCTGCTCTCATCAGCATCAAACACTTGAGAATGAACTAGGTTTAAAACATGGTACTTAGCAATCGGGTTGCCAGCAAAGCAGCGGATGCGAGACTTGCCTTCCAGGAGCTTAGCATCAGAACGGAGAAGCGAAATAAATGCTTAATATGTAGGTGACATAAATCCATACCAGTAGGCATTTAGGAGTAAATGGCAAATCCGAGAGTGAGAGGCCGTACATATTCAATATGATGAGAAATTTAGACAATACTATAGGAGCCCAAATGCTACAGATGTCCCTGGCTGCTGGGAAACGAAGGAAAACTTGTCCATGGACGTGGGGGTTTGTGTCAGACTCTGAATAAAGAGCAGAATGCTTGCTATCCTTCCTACTGGCGAGTTATCTGCCCATTGCCTGAAAAGTATCATTTCCTGCGTTCAATAAAAAGGCCCATCATGAGATATGAGCTATATAGCAAAGGGGACGGGGGCAGGGAGGAAGTGGCAAGAATAACATTTGTGAAGATGTCCAGGTGAGAAATAGAAGTTTTAATGCTCCAGATGTTTCCTTTTCCCTTTAAAATCTGACCTGTGATTTCCAGCATTGCTATTTGAAATATCACTTTTTTTTTGACCTTTAAAGGTAATGCTGATGAATATATCTGATTCTCACCATGACCCACTAAAGAAGGAGATAAAATTTGCAGAGAAATAAAAGAGAGGTAGTGGGGTGGAAAACATCCATTATTTGAATCAGTGTAGCTCCTCATCTATCCAACAATGGAAAAACACATCCACTGTTCTCAAAGTGTAGCCTCTCATCTAGCAGTATTGATCACCTGGGATAAAATCTTGGGCCCCACTGAATGACACACTGAGGGGTGAGACCTTGTAATCAGTACTTTAAAAAAGCCCTCTTGGTGATTCTGATAGGTGTTAAAGTTTGAAAACCACTGATGTAGATAACAGCTCTTCTTCTTTTTTTTTTTTTTTTTTTCCTTTTTGTTTTGAGACCAAGTCTCACTCTGTCACCCAGGCTGGAGTGCAGTGGTGGAATCTTGACTCACTGCAACCTCCACCTCCTGGGTTCAAGCGATTTTCCAGCCTCACCCTCCCAAGTAGCTGGGATTACAGCTGCCGCCACCATGCTGGGCTAATTTTTGTAGTTTTAGTAGAGCCCAGGTTTTGTCACGTTGGTCAGGCTGGTGTCAAACTCCTAACCTCAGGTGATCCACCCACCTTAGCCTCCCAAAGTGCTGGGATCACTGCACCCGGCCTCTTCTCTCTCTCTCTCTCTGTCTCTTTAAAACAGTTTTTGTTTTAATTGAAAGGTATTTAGAATATGAACATATGTTGCCCAGATGTTTCCCAAATGCTAAACATCTGGGCAACATTTGCTTTCTTTGACAGAGCAGAAACCATATGGATGATCCTAATACATTTCTTGTAGCAAAAAAACATAGATGGAAAAAGGTAAAACGGCCTTTGTTTCTTCAAAGAATTTGGGGCAAACAGAAAAGATGTATGAATGAAGAACATAGCCAGCTTGTTTTACTAAATATCAGTTTGTACTTCGAATAGCACTTAAGTTCGTAATTAATGGATGTGTTTTCTTTTTTCTTCCAAGATTTCTCCAATATCTTGTCCTTTACCATTGCACATCATTGTATACATCTTTACAGTGACGTTAGTACTCGCCCTTGCTCCCACCATGTCAAGCCCACCACATACTATTATGGTATAGACATGGCTAAATCCTCTATCAGCTGTCAGCCCCAAAACATTGCCAAGTCACAGGATACGCAGCTATGTATGGTTTTACATTAATAAAAGCCCCCTTTTCTGAACCATCTGTCATGGTGAAGGATATAATGCTATTTGTAGCCATCTATAACAGCAAGGCATATAATTTCTCTCTTTGATTTGCTCCCAAAATAATTTCCTTCCAATTTCAATCCTTCGGTAGCCCAGGTGCTCTCCATGAACCAGCTTCTGGCTGCCACCTCCTTCCCTGCCTAGATGGATTCAAGACTTCCACTCAAATATATAGAAATGACTATAAAGCCCAGTCTGTGGGTTTACTCCCATTACCACGGTCACAGAGGCACTTGCATGTCCCACTGGCTAATCAAACTTCACCATGGATGAATTTGAAGTCTTTCTTCCCTTTACCCGCTCCTTACCTCTCTGAGTAGCTCATCTTTTACTACATTCTTATTCTCATTGTTTGTAACCTCTTACTCTGTACTTCATACTCTAGCCAGTGATGTACATGTTAGTTCCTTACTTGAAACAAAGGAACTGAACTGAAATTTGTGCAGAATGTTACTAGTTCACATAAATATGTATAAATATATAGATAATTGTTAAGGAAAATGCTCACAAAAATTTAAGAATGATTTATAAGGGTTTATCTTTATTGAACATTTCTAATAGTTTGAATTTTTAAAAATAAGCATGAATATAAATTTCCCCCAAATGATCAGAAGTTAGGTAGGTAGGTCATCTGGAGTATACAAACCATGAGAAATCCTACCTTTGTCAAAGTTAAATTTTCACATCTTCAGTGTTACTGAGAATTTTATTATTTTTTTTCAAGATTGAATCTTGCTGTTGTCGCCCAGGCTGGAGTATAATGGCACCATCTCGGCTCACTGCAACTTCTGCCTCCCAGGTTCAACTGATTCTCCTGCCTCAGCCTCCCAAGTAGCTGGAATTACAGGTGCCTGCCACCATGCCCAGCTAATTTGTATATTTTTAGTAGATTCTGAGTTTCACTACATTGGCCAGGCTTGTCTCAAACTCCTGACCTCACGTGATTGGCCTGCCTCGGCCTCCCAAAGTGCTGGGATTATAGGCATGAGCCACCGTACCTGGCTGATGACTGACAATTCCTGCCTTTGTCACAGGATCATTTTAGGGATCAAATGAAGAGTTCTATGTGAAAGAAAAATGAGGCCATGAAGTGATATAGAAACCAAAGGTGATGTATTTATTGCCTTTCCCATTGAATGTAGTTTTCGTTTTTTTGTTTGTTTCTTTTGAGACACGATTTCACTGTACTTAAGGTGACCAGGTAAGGAAGGGAAGGGGTATTAGGATATGAGAAGGCAGACGCAAGAAGGGCCCAAATCGATGAGGGCAAGGAAGAGCAAGGGAGGCTCACAGGGCTGACTCTGGAAGAATGGGGGTTTTTAGGGTCACAGAGAAGGGGAAGACATTCTGGACAGCAACAGAACGTGTGAAGATATTATATGCTTGGAGATTGCAGATGCTGTGTGGGGCTAGAACATTCTTGTTCAGCTGCAAAAACATCTGAAACCTGAGAAGGCTGTGGGAAACATGAGGAACTAGATGTGTGATACTTTGAGTTTTTCTAAATTAGTAACTGCTAATAGAGTAGGAAAAATTAATGGGGTGCTTATTCTGGACCAAATACTGTACGAAGTTTTTTTTTTTAACCCCCCAAGACATGGGGTCTCACTGCTGTCACTGAGGCTGAAGTGTGCTAACAGGGTCACAGCTCACCATAGCCTCAAACTCCTGGCCTCTAGCAGTCCTCTTGCCTCAGCCTCCTGAGTCACCGGGATTACAGGCATGAGCCACTGCACATGGCTTGTGCTAGGTACTTTACAGAAATTGTCACTTTTACTATTTCCAACCAAACTATGGGCAAGTTACTGCTCCCCCATTTTACAGATGGGAAAAATTAGGCCTATGGAGATCTGCCTCCTGAAGTCATGCACCTGTTTACATGGAAAACGTTGGGATTCAAACTTGGGTTTGTCCAACTCCAGAGTCCTTCCTGGTTATTAGCCTCCAGTGCTCTGAATTGCCATGCAAAGGAATATTAACTTCGTTCTGAAGGGAATTGGAAGGTCGTGGAAAAATTTTGAGCCTGAAAGGGAGACGCTCAAAACAACAAAACGCAAACAAAAAACAAAACCCTCATTTTTTTAAAGATAGCTCTCATAGAGTGGAAGCTCAATGGCAGGGCAGAAAGACCAGCCTGACTAGCTAACCTCCTAGACCAGAGCTGGTAAGGGCTTCCGTTGAGGTGTGGTCATGGGAGGATGGAGAAAAGGTGATACAATTGAAAGTCAGAAGGTAGATTTAGCAGCATTTGGAACTCACGGGATTTGGACAGAGGACGGGAGGAAGGGACACCTGACCAGTAGAGATGGAGGTAATGAAGGTGTGTCCCATGAAGACGAAGAACGTGGAAAGAAATCAGTTTGGAAAGTAAGATGCTGCATGAGGTTTTGGAAATAAGCTGGGTTTGAAGTGTCTAGTACCCATCCTGTCTGCCAGACAGAAACATTGGTGTAGCCGGGCACGGTGGCTCACATCTATAATCCCAGCATTTTGGGAGGCCAAGGCCAGAGGATGGCCTGAGCCCAGGACTTCGAGACCAGCCCGGGCAAGTGAGACCTAGTCTCTACGAAAAACAAACACACAGAACCTAACCCAGGCACGGTAGCGCATGCCTGTAGTCCCAGCTACTCAGACGGCGGAGGTGGGACAATCGCTGAGCCGAGTCCAAAACTGCAGTGAGCGAAGATTGTGCTACTGCACTCCAGCCTGATGAGTGAGACCATTTCACTCACACACACACACACACACACACACACACACACACTGTAGAGATCAGGATAGGGTCTCTTCAGAAGATTAAGCTCAGATTAACAAAAGCCCGCCTGCACCCCGTTCCCCCGGCAATTCTGACTTACGGGCAGGATATGGGGGTAACCACTGTGCTGGTGGAGGTGGTGCGGGCCTCACCAACACCCGACCGGCAGTCCCAGCGCAGTTCTCCGCACATTTGCCCGCAGAAAGCCGGGAAGGCAGAGGTGGGGATTTCCCTCCGTAGCCAGACGGCCGCGCCCAACGGGTGCGGTGGGTTTGGGCGTGAAGCACTGCGGTGTAGCACTCCACCTCCGCAAAGGCCAGGCGCTCTTCCCGAGAGTCCCCTGGACTCGGGCCCGACGCGCCTCTCCTTTCCCCGATATCCGTACAACGTTGGGTCCCTGTCAAGCGCGGGAAGAGCTGGGCTGCCAAAGCCCGAAGCCCGCGCCCAGGAAAGCGGCCACCGCCCGGCCAGGATAGCTGACCTAGGTTGGATGGCCAAGCTCAAGACGGCACCGCAGCCAGGAAACCCGACCCTGTGTCTTTCTTTGGGAACCGAGCTGGAAAAGCTTTCCCGGCCCTTAATGCCGGAGGAGCACGGAGGGCAAGCGGTACAGCCTCTTCAAAGTGCTGCTGTGGGTGGCTCTGAAAAGAGCCTTTTGGATACGATGGAACCTACGAGCCGAGCGCGCACTTAAGCCCGCTCCCCGCGGATGCGGCGGGCCAGCTGGATGTCCTTGGGCATGATGGTCACGCGCTTGGCGTGGATGGCGCACAGGTTCGTGTCTTCGAACAGCCCCACCAGGTAGGCCTCGCTGGCCTCCTGCAGCGCCATCACGGCCGAGCTCTGGAAGCGCAGGTCCGTCTTAAAGTCCTGCGCGATCTCGCGCACCAGCCGCTGGAAGGGCAGCTTGCGGATCAGCAGCTCCGTGGACTTCTGGTAGCGCCGGATCTCGCGCAGGGCCACGGTGCCCGGACGGTAACGGTGCGGCTTCTTCACCCCGCCCGTGGCCGGCGCGCTCTTGCGGGCCGCCTTGGTGGCCAGCTGCTTTCTCGGGGCTTTGCCGCCGGTCGACTTGCGGGCAGTCTGCTTCGTACGGGCCATAGCGAACCAAAAAAACCGAAACACTCGCCAACGCAGCCCCGGGGACAGAAACGGGCTCCCAGCCGCCCGGCAGCCGCCTTTATAGGCACAGTCTTTTCCCGATGGGGCGGAGCAATAATTGAAAATCCCGCGCTGCCCGTCCATTGGCTGCGACGTCACCCGCCTTCGCGTCACCGGTTGGCTCGGGCGGAGTCCTCCCTAATCCCGCCCACCCGCCTGGCTGGCTGCTTTCCCGTTGGCCCACAGTTTTTCAAGCGTTCTTCCCTTCCTTCGGGTGAAAGTTTGCCATTGCCGCTTGTGTTCGATTGTTGCCTGGACGCCCTTCACTTCCGTAGAACGCGCTGCCCGCGATAGCCCCCTTTCTTGCTGCGCCCTGTAGCTCCTGCAGGGCACCTTCTTCCGTTTCCCCCCCTCCGCCCCGAGTCGCTACTCCGCGGGACATTTTTCGCCTGCCGGGTGCCCTTTGGGTGGGAGAGGTGTCCGCCCCCCAGGGCGCAGGATTCCGCCTCCAAGGCCGGTACTCCGCCCGGAAAACAGAAATGGAAACCAAGACTAGGTCAGCTGAGTAAAGCCAAGACCCAGCTCGGCCACAATGGCGAGCGCTAGCCTCTCAGGGCCCTCCGAGCGGGCGGTGGGGGCGAGGAGCACGTCCCGCTAATGCTCGAGGAGGCCCGAGTGCCGGGCCGCGACTCCGCGGAAAGCGCCGGGGAAGCGCGCGCTTTGCGCCCGATACCCAAGCGCGTTGGGTAGCGCCCCAGGCGCTGGTGTTCGTGACTCCAGTGGACCGCGACGCGCAGGACGTTTGGTGCCTCCGCCTGCGCCGGGGAGATTTAGGACCGGGGGAACGAGATGCAACACGGCACACCCACCCCCTCCGACCCGCCACCCCCGGGCTCGCAGTTTGGCACCGACAAAGGCTGCACGGGGAGTACGTGGCCGGCGTTCACAACTCCTTTATTTGAAAACGTGGGTGGCTCTGAAAAGAGCCTTTTGAGTTCGCAGGTGCCCCTTCGAGACGCGGGCCGGGCTGCGCTTGACGGACGCCAGCCTCACTTGCCCTTCGCCTTGTGGTGACTCTCCGTCTTCTTAGGCAGCAGCACGGCCTGGATGTTGGGCAACACGCCGCCCTGGGCGATGGTGACTTTGCCCAGCAGCTTGTTCAGCTCCTCGTCGTTGCGGATGGCCAGCTGCAGGTGACGGGGGATGATGCGCGTCTTCTTGTTGTCCCGAGCCGCGTTGCCCGCTAGCTCCAGGATCTCGGCGGTCAGGTACTCCAGGACCGCCGCCATGTAGACGGGCGCGCCGGCCCCCACCCGCTCCGCGTAGTTGCCTTTGCGCAGCAGGCGGTGCACTCGCCCCACCGGGAACTGCAGGCCAGCGCGGGACGAGCGCGACTTGGCCTTGGCGCGGGCCTTGCCTCCTTGCTTGCCACGACCAGACATGACAGCGACGGCAGCCCGCAGAACTAACGACAGAAACCTCCCGCCTGGCGACCAGGAAAGTCGCCCGAGACGCCGCCGCCTCACCCTTTTATAGACAGAACGCCGATTGTCCACGGAGCACTTTGATTGGCTCAGGCACACATTGTCCTGCTGGCCAATACGATAGCTCCGCCGGAATCCACTCATTTACATAATCTCGTCGCCCTGGCGTGGGGCGCCGCGGAAAACTCGCGAAGCGGAACGCAGCGTCTTGGGAGCTTTCATGTGCAGTCAGGCTCCGTAAGTGCAGGTGCGTCGTGGCTTCAGGTAGAGCCCGGTCAGGCGGCGCGGCGCTGCTCGCGTTCTTGGGGGTCTGTGTCGCCAGTGCGTCCGCCCCGCCTCCCGAGGTCACCAAAGTGCGGAAGAAGGACCGCAGGAAGCGCAAGCGCAGCCGCAGGAAGAGCTGCCCGGTGTGGGTGGATGAGGTGCTGAGGCGGGTCCACCCGACACCGGCATCTTGAACTCCTTCCTCGACATCTCCGAGGGCGTCGCGGCGGCGGCGTCCTTCCCCGACGCACTACAACCAGCGCTCCACGGTCACGTCCCGCGAGATCCAGACCGCGGAGCGCCTGCCTGGCTGCTGCCCGGCCAGCTGGCCAAGCCCGCGGTGTCCGAGGGCACCAAGGCGCTCACCGAGGACGCCAGCTCCGTTTGTCCCTACCGGGACCTGGCGCTCGCTCGCTCCCTCCGCGAGTCGCTGGCTGCTTGACTCCAAACGCTTTCAAGCTGCTCTTGTGTTTTCAGTTCCGGTTCATGTTTTTTGGCTTCTCGTTTGCTTAACTTTAAAGAAAGCTGGGCCGGGCGCGGTAGCTCACGCATGTAATCCCAACACTTTGAGAGGCCGAGGCGGGTGGATCACAAGGTCAATAGATCGAGACCATCCCAGTCAACATGGTGAAACCTTGTCTCTACTGAAAATACAAAAGTTAGCTGGGCATGGTGGCGCGTGCCTTTAGTCCTAGCTACTAGGGAGGCTGAGGCGGGAGAACTGCTTGAACTCAGGAGGCGGAGGTTGCGATGAGCCGAGATCGCGCCATTGCACTCCAGCCTGGGTAACAAGAGCGAAACTCCGTCTCAAGAAACAAAAACAACGACAAAATCCTGACAACTCTTTCAAGGCCAGTTACCTGTTTTCAGATAGGCACTGCTATTAGTATGCTTATAGATTGTTAGTGGTGTATTACTTTGGTATTAGGCGTTCTTGTGCTTGCCTTAGAGGGCTGCTCTCAAAACTGTCTTTGGCTTGTGTACGTACCCGTCAATATGTCCCCAGCAAAGTGTTTCCTGGTGAGAAATGCAGTTTAGTTTTGATAAGCTTATGTAAGATCAAATTGTCTGTATGAACAAAAGTTTGGGTCTGCTCTTCAGTGGTAAAATGAAGGTAGAGGTTAAATGTATTGTATGCTCTGAGATGTGTACTTTAAAGGGAATAGTTCAAGTTTTATATATGGTATGGAGAAATTTCTTGAGGTTTTTATATCTTTTCACTAACACGTGTCTATACCACCATTCATTTGAAAATTCCTTAAGCAGGTAGACGGAAGCTTCATATTAATACCTAGGAATTAACACCGATAACACTGGTGCCATCTGTGCCCTCTAATTGAAATACCCTAAAAATCTACTCAATACCGTTAAATGGTGTTTTCTCACCCGAAGAAGTATCATTCAGAAAAACGTGTCCAGTTTAAGTTCCATACAATGGCAACAAGATACATATGATTTCTGAACCCAGCTCGGGATCCCTGAAAAGCAGAAGGACCACAAATGTGCAAGAGAGGTTGATTAGGTTTGTTCTCAGCTTTGGGAACACGGGACTTGTAATAACACAGCCTCATTAACCTTAAAAGATTATACTGATTGCTTTGGTGTTCGTAATCGGTAGGTTGGCCATAATAGAAGCAAAGAAAGCAATTAGGAGGCTGTTGCAGTTCTGTGGGCTGGAGCAGTGTTTCTTAAAATCTCATCTCCCGACCAGCAGCATCAGCATTACTTGAGGTCATTAAAAAATGGAAATTCTCAGGTTCCAATTATTTGTGGTAACAAGCTTTCTGGGTGATGATGCATGCTAAAGTGTGAAAAACACTCGATAAATGACATGTTGGAGTACAGTGGGGGTCATGGACACAAATGTTGGATTGTATCTTTGAGGTAGAATTCATAGGTGTGGCTGAGAAACAGGATTTAGCTAACAATGAAAACCCCTAGAGTTTTTGGCTTGACCAACGGTAGATAGTAGTACTCTTAGGATAGAACATGGGGAGAAGATATTCCTTGGGACACGGAAGGGAGATCGAGTTCTGATTTAAATTTGAAAAGCTGTTTGCTATTCAAGTGGATATGTGGAGTTGACAGTTTAAGAGATGCATCTAGGGTTCAGTAAAGACAACACAAGCCTGTGTTTAAGGTCCACCTGTTAACTGTGACTACAGCGAGGGGAATAATGGACATCACCTTAAAGTATTTTTCTAGACCTTATTACTCATGTGTTTGTCATGAGGTAGAACTTAGTTTATAATTGTGCAATGTATGTTATTGACCAGATAGCATTTATTTTTCTAATTCTGTTTCTGTTATAGTATGCCACATGTGCTTCCCAGAAACATGTTTTACCCACAGTTCTTAGGGTTGGCCTGACGAGTTTATTGTTGTCTCAACCTGATTCTTACTGTGATTAGTTCAGGAATCTAGATCAAACGAATTGGCATTTAACATTTCAGGAAGTGAACTGAGTTAACAACTGACTAACTCAGCAGGGGAGTGTATTATGCTATTATCTTTTGGAAAAGAAGCTTGTTTTCAAGAGGCAGCAGCAGGATGGACCGCCTTTGGGTATGATGGCAAGAGTGACTACAGACAATATGCAGAGGAGGGCACAGTGTGGGGGAATCAGGGAACTGAGCCAGACTTAGAGTTCAGCCAACTCTTGATCTCTGCTGTACCTTTGGACTTCCAGTAGAGCCAATTTGTCTGACATATTTACTTATCCCAATTTGAATCTTGAAATATGAAGCAAAGACCTTTCATGAAAGGTCTCAAAGAAACAAATAGGGTTGATTAGGACAGAATTGCTCCAACTTCATATTTGGAACAAATGTGGAAATGATAAAAAACCAGTATTTGATGAAGGCTAAAGACTAATATATTACCATCACAGAAAGAATGTCCAGGCTTCATGGTGGCACGTGCCTGTCATCCCAGCTACTCAGGAGGCTGAGGCAGGAGAATTGCCTGAACCCAGGAGGCGGAGGTTGCGGTGAGCCGAGATCGCGCCATTGCACTCCAGCCTGGGCAACAAGGGCGAAACTCCGTCTCAAAAAAAAAAAAAAAAAAAAAAAAAGAATGTCCAGGCTTTTTTTGATGTGAAATTTTATTTAAGAATTTAAAATAAACTGTGAATCTAAAAATGTTAGTAGCTGTATTAATTTCCTAGGGCTGTCAAAGTATCATAACTGTATGGCATAAAACAATAAACATTCTTTCATGCTTTTAGAGGCTAGAAATCTGAAATCAAACTGTTGGTAGGGCCATACTCTCTCCAAACCCACGATGGGAAGATTCTTTCTGGTCTTTTAGTGCCTGGTAGCCCCATTTGTTCTTTGGTTTGTGGCAGCATAACTCTAATCTCTACCTCCGTCTTTTCCTGTATGTCTCCATGTTTCCTTTCTTTCTGAGACGGAGTTTCACTCTTGTTGCCCAGGCTAGAGTGCAATGGCGTGATCTTCGCTCACTGCAAACTCTGCCTCCTGGGTTCAAACGGTTTTCCTGCCTCGCCTCCCGAGTAGCTGGGATTACAGCATGTCACCACGCCCCCCTAATTTTGTATTTTTAGTAGAGATGGGGTTTCATGTTGGTCAGGCTGGTCTTGAATTCCTTGACCTCAGGTGATCCACCTGCTTTGGTCTCCCAAAGTGCTGGAATTACAGGTATGAGCCACCAACACCCAGCCATCTCTGATTTTTTTTTTTTATAAAGGTATCAGTCATACTGGATTAGGGCCCACCCAACGACCTCATTTTAACTTCACTAAATCTGCAAAGACCCTATTTCCAAATAAGGCAAAATTCTAAGGAACTAGGGGTTAGACTTCAACACTTCTTTGCAGGGGGACACAATTCAACCCCTAACAATAGTTAACAGCTGTGGCAGGCTAAATATGCCCCCCACATATGTCCATATCCTAATCCCTAGAACCTGTTAATATTACCTTATATAGCCAAGGGAATTTTGCATTTGTGATTCTGAGACAGAGATTGTGATGGATTATCCAGGTAGGCTCCAAAAGTAATGACCACAGCCATTATAGCAGAGGCAAAAAAGTCAAGTATGGAAGCTGGTGATAGAGAAGCAGAGGGAGATTTGAAGATTAATAAGATGCTTGTTTTGAAGATGGAAGTAAGGGACCATAAGCCAGAAATATCCCTCTAGAGGCTGGAAAAAGCATGGAAATATACCCTCCCTTAAGGCCCCCGGAGGGAGTACACCCTTGATTTCGACCTAGTGAAACTGAGTTCGTACTTCTGACCTCCAAAACTAAGAGAATAAATGACTGTTGTTTTAAAACCATGAAGTTTGTAGTAATTTGTTGTAGTAGCCACAGGAAACTAATACAATAACTATACAGGATAAAAAAATGGAGAAATTTGAATATGGATTGCATATTAGTTAATATGACTGAATCAATATTAAATTTGTTGGATGTAATAATGCTACTGTAGCTATTTAGGAGAATATCCTTATTTTTAAGAGACATGCCACTTTATTTAGGGAGAAGTGCCAACATAGTCACAGTTTTTTTTTCAAATGGTTCAGGGGCTGTCTGTGTGTACATGAGAAGACAAAGACAAGACAAATGCAGCAAAATCATACTAATTGGTGAATCTAGGTGAAGGGTCTATGGTTGATCTTTGTACTATTTTTTCCAACTTTTCTGTAGGTTTAAATTTTCAAAATAAAAAAATGGGAAATACTTTAAAAACTAATCAAAGACAATTATTAGTACAAGAACTTTCATACATTGTTTTTTATTTTTACAATAATTTATGTAAATTGATAGAATTTCACTAATTTCACTACAAGTTATATTTAAAAGCCTTACACATGTTTGATAATAGTATATGTAAACTAGAACTCTGAATGATATCCACTGGTCAGAATACATACTGTGTAGCGGTAATGGTGACTTTCGTGATTGTACAAGTCCAGGGGATGCCCCAAATGACACTGACTTACAAGCCTGGTTATTCTAAGGTTGAAACTGAAGTTGAATAGGTTTTAGTCAACTACTGAGACCAAAGCTGAGGCAGTCCTGTATACACACACACACACACACACACACACACACACACACACACCGTGATTCTAAATATTTACAGAAAGAGCAGATTATCAACAAAAGAATAAGAATCAGACCAATATGAGAGCTTATAAACCTAACCCCCTTCTCTTTCCTAAACTCCAGATGCTCACACTTTGAACTTCCTATTTGATAGTTAACACTTCCATACTTACAGGAGTCTCAACATTTTGTTCAAAACAAGTACTCTTGGTTTTCTTCCTCCAAGACTACTCCTCACTCATTTCAGCAAATAGCAGCTGTTTTCAAGTGCTCCGTGTAAAAACCTACAATAAATCCTTGATTTCTCTTTCAGTCAGCCTATACTCTATTAATTTCATTTAAAATATCTCGACTACTACTCAGCATCTCTACTGCTACCACCTGCCTCTCCAGTCAAATTCTTCAAGAGCACTCCATCTCATTTACAAGACAAAAATCTCAGCAATGGCCTGTGAAACTCCTTAATGGCCTACAACATCCCGCCCTCAAGCACCTCTCTGACAATCTCTCCGTTGCAGTGTTACTTCAGCCACATTAACCAGCTTGCATATTTCTCACTTTCACCAAACCTGCTCCTGCCTTGGGGCCTTTGTACTTGCCATTTTCTTTTCTTTTCTTTTCTTTTTTTTAAATTGCATTTTAGGTTTTGGGATACATGTGAAGAACATGCAAGATTGTTGCAAGTACTTGCCATTTTCTTTTCTGAGAATACTCTGCCTCAAGATATCCTACAACTCACTATCTTACTGTATTCAGCCCTCTGCTCAACTATTAACTGATCAGACCTGTCAACCCACTCCACCCCACTCCATGTTCTGCTTTACTTAACAGCAATGCACATATGGCTCCATGAATAATACAAATGTATTTGTTCGCTTTTTACTTATCCACTAATTAAAATGTAGAAGTTTTCCATTCTGTTTACTGCTGTATTCCCAGTATATTTTATCCCAATGTGCAGTGATTTTTTTCCTTTTCTCTTATTGTGGGAAGTGATGTGCACAAATACACATAATGAAGCCTGAATAATATGTCACATTGCTTTCATAGTTCACTGTAAGTGAATTTTACTAAGAAAGGAAAAGTAGCGATTGATAGATAATATGATTACATTGAATCACTCTCATAATTAAGTGTGTATTGCTTTCCTGCACTTATTCTGATTCCCCAAGACCAAATGTTAACAACTACCTCCCCACCATATAATTATTTACCCAACATTGTTTAGGTGCCTGTTAAAATGAAGTCATACACCTACCTTATAAACTCAACCTTTCCCTATGGTCTTTCTCTCTATGCTTTAACTTTTCAGGCTTACGAAATCTGCCTTATCTCTCAGTAGAGCCATGTAAAGATATCTGCAAAAGCAGGAAAATGTTTCCGGGGAATTAAGCTTTGAAATTTTGTTTCAATAAAGGTAAATGTAGCACACTGCCGAATAACTAAGAAATGTTTTTAACTGGGTGGGACAGACAGCAAGTGTGTCATCCTGGAAGATAGTATTTGGGATTTTATGTAGGTACATTAAGAGAAAAAAGTGAACAAAAGTGGGCTAAACTAGAACACTGCAGTATGCTTAACATGTACTTTCCAGTAACTTTGTGTTATCCCATCATCTTGGTAATTTAACCTTCTGTTCTCAGTTTGATCTTTTTACATTGCATTTTAAATCCTACTAAAAATATAGAGCCCTGAATTAATAAAGGATTAAATGAAACTTTTGTATAGCTCACTGCAATTCTGGGGGAAAAAAGAGGGTAGGGGGGATTGTCTGGGGTAGTGACTGAAAATTGTGAACAGGTTCTTACCAAGGAGTAAGACAACTGCATAACCACATGGCAGTGGTTACCAAACCTGTGAGTCACCTGGTGTGTTCCGCAGATGTAAACCCTTGCCTCTCGTCCCCAGTGCTTCGGATCAGTGGAACTATGTGGTGTTTAAGGAATATACAATATGTATTTATGTACCTATTTGTGTGTGTGTTGAAAGCTTCAGGGTTAAACAAGTTTGAACTGTTTAGGAAACACTACTGTTTAAGGTATCCACTCTCAAATATAAAGACCTTTAGAACTTCTCTAATTTTTCATGCCACTCAGTGCCCAGAAGACTGTAAAATTCCCAACTTTAACAATGAGAAACTGTCTATATACCAACACTTGACTAAAAAGCTTTACTATACAGGACAACAGAATTTACATTATTCTGATACCACTTAACGTCTTGAGACCCAGCAATAAGTACCTATAGATTCACAGCACCTGAAATAATACTAAATTGAGACAAGAAGGCTATGGAAACTAAAAATTGCTTGAACCACAGAATCGAGGTGTACAGGTGCGGGGTTAAACCGTACTATACGTGGCTAGGCGTCGTCTCAAAAGTATTAAGAATGTTTGAGGTCACGACACAATTTTGCAAGCTCAAGTTAAATACTATTAACATTTTTTTTTCTCCACTCTCTTGAGCAGATTTACATTTACCGCACCCGTAGCATGCCGTCTCACTTCGAAAAAGGCAAATTATGTGCACATGATCATGTCACTGCACGGTAGTTCGACCAAGCTACAGATTATAGACTTACCTTATACTCCTCTCAGGTCACCTGAAGAAAAAGGGGTAGGTGCTGCGGGAAAACCCCTAAGAAATCAGTGGGAAAACAGCTGCTTTCACTGAGACAGGTGAGTAGCTCTGAAAAGAGCCTTTGGAATCCCGCAGCCGGCGACGCGCAGGGAGCGAGCGAGCCAGTGAGCGCCTTGGTGCCCTCGGACACCGCGGGCTTGGCCAGCTGGCCGGGCAGCAGCCAGGCAGGCGCTCCGCGGTCTGGATCTCGCGGGACGTGACCGTGGAGCGCTGGTTGTAGTGCGTCGGGGAAGGACGCCGCCGCCGCCGCGACGCCCTCGGAGATGTCGAGGAAGGAGTTCAAGATGCCCACGGCCCTGGACAAGATGCCGGTGTCGGGTGGACCCGCCTCAGCACCTCATCCACCCACACCGGGCAGCTCTTCCTGCGGCTGCGCTTGCGCTTCCCGCGGTCCTTCTTCCGCACTTTGGTGACCTCGGGAGGCGGCGCGGACGCACTGGCGACACAGACCCCCAAGAACGCGAGCAGCGCCGCGCCGCCTGACCGGGCTCTACCTGAAGCCACGACGCACCTGCACTTACGGACCCTGACTGCACATGAAAGCTCCCAAGACGCTGCGTTCCGCTTCGCGAGTTTTCCGCGGCGCCCCACGCCAGGGCGACGAGATTATGTAAATGAGTGGATTCCGGCGGAGCTATCGTATTGGCCAGCAGGACAATGTGTGCTTGAGCCAATCAAAGTGCTCCGTGGACAATCGGCGTTCTGTCTATAAAAGGGTGAGGCGGCGGCGTCTCGGGCGACTTTCCTGGTCGCCAGGCGGGAGGTTTCTGTCGTTAGTTCTGCGGGCTGCCGTCGCTGTCATGTCTGGTCGTGGCAAGCAAGGAGGCAAGGCCCGCGCCAAGGCCAAGTCGCGCTCGTCCCGCGCTGGCCTGCAGTTCCCGGTGGGGCGAGTGCACCGCCTGCTGCGCAAAGGCAACTACGCGGAGCGGGTGGGGGCCGGCGCGCCCGTCTACATGGCGGCGGTCCTGGAGTACCTGACCGCCGAGATCCTGGAGCTGGCGGGCAACGCGGCTCGGGACAACAAGAAGACGCGCATCATCCCCCGTCACCTGCAGCTGGCCATCCGCAACGACGAGGAGCTGAACAAGCTGCTGGGCAAAGTCACCATCGCCCAGGGCGGCGTGTTGCCCAACATCCAGGCCGTGCTGCTGCCTAAGAAGACGGAGAGTCACCACAAGGCGAAGGGCAAGTGAGGCTGGCGTCCGTCAAGCGCAGCCCGGCCCGCGTCTCGAAGGGGCACCTGCGAACTCAAAAGGCTCTTTTCAGAGCCACCCACGTTTTCAAATAAAGGAGTTGTGAACGCCGGCCACGTACTCCCCGTGCAGCCTTTGTCGGTGCCAAACGGCGGACCTGGGGGTGGCGGGTCGGAGGGGGTGGGTGTGCCGTGTTGCATCTCGTTCCCCCGGTCCTAAAGCTCCCCGGCGCAGGCGGAGGCACCAAACGTCCTGCGCGTCGCGGTCCACTGGAGTCACGAACACCAGCGCCTGGGGCGCTACCCAGCGCGCTTGGCTGTTGGGCGCAAAGCGCGCGCTTCCCCGGCGCTTTCCGCGGAGCCGCGGCCCGGCACTCGGGCCTCCTCGAGCATTAGCGGGACGTGCTCCTCGCCCCCACCGCCCGCTCGGAGGGCCCTGAGAGGCTAGCGCTCGCCATTGTGGCCGAGTTGGGTCTTGGCTTTACTCAGCTGACCTAGTCTTGGTTTCCATTTCTGTTTTCCGGGCGGAGTACCGGCCTTGGAGGCGGAATCCTGCGCCCTGGGGGGCGGACACCTCTCCCACCCAAAGGGCACCCGGCAGGCGAAAAATGTCCCGCGGAGTAGCGACTCGGGGCGGAGGGGGGGAAACGGAAGAAGGTGCCCTGCAGGAGCTACAGGGCGCAGCAAGAAAGGGGGCTATCGCGGGCAGCGCGTTCTACGGAAGTGAAGGGCGTCCAGGCAACAATCGAACACAAGCGGCAATGGCAAACTTTCACCCGAAGGAAGGGAAGAACGCTTGAAAAACTGCGGGCCAACGGGAAAGCAGCCAGCCAGGCGGGTGGGCGGGATTAGGGAGGACTCCGCCCGAGCCAACCGGTGACGCGAAGGCGGGTGACGTCGCAGCCAATGGACGGGCAGCGCGGGATTTTCAATTATTGCTCCGCCCCATCGGGAAAAGACTGTGCCTATAAAGGCGGCTGCCGGGCGGCTGGGAGCCCGTTTCTGTCCCCGGGGCTGCGTTGGCGAGTGTTTCGGTTTTTTTGGTTCGCTATGGCCCGTACGAAGCAGACTGCCCGCAAGTCGACCGGCGGCAAAGCCCCGAGGAAGCAGCTGGCCACCAAGGCGGCCCGCAAGAGCGCGCCGGCCACGGGCGGGGTGAAGAAGCCGCACCGTTACCGTCCGGGCACCGTGGCCCTGCGCGAGATCCGGCGCTACCAGAAGTCCACGGAGCTGCTGATCCGCAAGCTGCCCTTCCAGCGGCTGGTGCGCGAGATCGCGCAGGACTTTAAGACGGACCTGCGCTTCCAGAGCTCGGCCGTGATGGCGCTGCAGGAGGCCAGCGAGGCCTACCTGGTGGGGCTGTTCGAAGACACGAACCTGTGCGCCATCCACGCCAAGCGCGTGACCATCATGCCCAAGGACATCCAGCTGGCCCGCCGCATCCGCGGGGAGCGGGCTTAAGTGCGCGCTCGGCTCGTAGGTTCCATCGTATCCAAAAGGCTCTTTTCAGAGCCACCCACAGCAGCACTTTGAAGAGGCTGTACCGCTTGCCCTCCGTGCTCCTCCGGCATTAAGGGCCGGGAAAGCTTTTCCAGCTCGGTTCCCAAAGAAAGACACAGGGTCGGGTTTCCTGGCTGCGGTGCCGTCTTGAGCTTGGCCATCCAACCTAGGTCAGCTATCCTGGCCGGGCGGTGGCCGCTTTCCTGGGCGCCGCCTGCTCACGCCCTTTCGCTCCTGGGCGCGGGCTAGCGGGCTTTGGCGACCTAGCTCTTCCCGCGCTTTACGGGGGCCCAGCTTTGTGTGGCTAGCGGGGAAAGGAGAGGCACTTCGCGCCTGCGTCCAGGGGACACTCAGGGACGGCGCCTGGCCTTTGCGGAGGAGGAATGCTACAGGACCCGGCTTTGCGCCCAAACCCACCTCTCCCGGTGGGCGCGGCCGCCCGGCTACGGAGGTAATTCGCCACCTCGGCCTTGCCGAGGTTCTGGGGACAAACGTGCGGAGAAACGTGCTGGGGTGCCGGTTGGGTGTCGGTGAGGTCCGCACCACCTCCACCAGCACACTGGTAACCTCGATATCCTGCCCGGAAGCCAGAATTGCCGGGGGAACGGGGTGCAGGCGGGCTTTTGTTAATCTGAGCTGAACCTGAAGAGACCCTATCCTGATCTCTACAGTGTGTGTGTGAGTGAAATGGTCTCACTCATCAATCGAGTGCAGTAACACAATCAAAGCTCACTGCAGTTTTGAACTCGGCTCAGCGATTCTCCCACCTCAGCCGTCTGAGTAGCTGGGACTACAGGCATACACTACCATGACTGGGTTAGTTTTTAAATTTTTTTTTTTTTTTTTTTTTTTTTTGAGACAGTTTGGCTGTTGTTACCCAGGCTGGAGTGCAATGGCGCGATCTCGGCTCACTATAACCTCCGCCTCCTGGGCTCAGGCAATTCTCCTGCCTCAGCCTCCTGAGTAGCTGGGATTACAAGCACGTGCCACCATGCCCAGCTAATTTTTGTATTTTTAGTAGAGACGGGATTTCACCATGTTGACCGGGATGGTCTTGATCTCTTGACCTTGTGATCCACCCACCTCAGCCTCCCAAAGTGCTGGGATTACAGGCTTGAGCCACCACGCCCGGCCCTTAAATTTTTTTTGTAGAGACCAAGTCTCACTTCATTGCCCAGGCTGGTCTCGAAGTCCTGGGCTCAGGCCATCCCGCCTTGGCCTCCCAAAATGCTGGGATTATAGATGTGACCCACTGTGCCTGGCTACACCAGTGTTTCTGCCTGGCAGATGGGTCCCTCTGGATGGATACTAGACACTTCAAAACCAGCTTATTTCCAAAACCTCATGCAGCATCTTACTTTCCAAACCGATTTGTTTCTTTCCACATTCTTCATCTTCATGGAACACACCTTCATTACCTCCATCTCTACTGGTCAGGTGTCCCTTCCTCCCGTCCTCTGTCCAAATCCCGTGAGTTCCAAATGTTACTAAATCTACCTTCTGACTTTCAATTGTATCACCTTTTCTCCATCCTCCCATGACCACACCTCAACGGAAGCCCTTACCAGCTCTGGTCTAGGAGGTTAGCTAGTCAGGCTGGTCTTTCTGCCCTGCCACTGAGCTTCCACTCTATGAGAGCTATCTTTTAAAAAAATGAGGGTTTTGTTTTTTGTTTGCTTTTTGTTTTGAGCCTCTCACTTTCATGCTTAAAATTTTTCTACCACCTTCCCGTTCCCTTCAGGATGAAGTTAACATTCCTTCGCATGGCAATTCACAGCACTGGACTCGAGTTGGACAAAGTCAAGTTTGAATCCCAACCTTTTCCATGTAAACAGGTGCATGACTTAAGGATTTATCATGCGGATTTGCAGGCGCAGGCATGGCCATATGGACTAGCGACACAGACCCCAGAGAACAGAAGCACAGCCGTGGGACCGAGTAGGAGATCAGGAGGCAGATCTCCATAGGCCTAACTTTTCCCATCTGTAAAATGAGGTAGCAGTAATTTGCTCATAGTTTTATTGGAAATAGTAAAAGTGACAATTTCTGTAAAGTACCTAGCACAAGCCATGTGCAGTGGCTCATGCCTGTAATCCCGGTGACTCAGGAGGCTGAGACAAGAGGACTGCTAGAGGCCAGGAGTTCGAGGCTATGGTGAGCTGTGACCATGCCACTACACTTCAGCCTCAGTGACAGCAGTGAGACCCCATGTCTTTAAAAAAAAGACCTTGCACAGTATTTGGTCCAGAATAAGCACCCCATTAATTTTTGCTACTCTATTAGCAGTTACTAATTTAGAAAAACTCAAAGTATCACACATCTAGTTCCTGATGTTTCCCACAGCCTTCTCAGGTTTCAGATGTTTTTGCAGCTGAACAAGAATGTTCTATCCCCACACGGCATCTGCAATCTCCAAGCATATAATATCTTCACATGTTCTGTTGCTGTCCAGAATGTCTTCCCATTCTTCAAGAGCCAGCCCTGTGAGCCTCCCTTGCTCTTCTTTGCCCTCATCTCTTTGGGTCTTCCTTGCTTCTGCCCCCTCATATCCTAATACCCCTTCCCTTCCTTACCTGGTCACCTTAAGTACAGTGAAACCGGGTCTCAAAAGAAAAAAAAAAAAACCTCGAACTACATTGAGTGGGAAATGGGATAAATACATCACCTTTGGTTGCTATATCACTTCATGGCCTCATTTTTCTTTCACATAGAACTTTTTTCTTTTCTTTTCTTTTTTTTTTTTTGAGACGGAGTTTTACTCTTGTTACCCAGGCTGGAGTGCAATGGCGTGATCTTGGCTCACCGCAACCTCAGTCTCCTGGATTCAAGCAGTTCTCCTGCCTCAGCCTCCCGAATAGCTGGGACTACAGGCGTGCACCACCATGCCCAGCTAATTTTTGTATTTTTAGTAGAGACGAGGTTTCACCATGTTGACCAGGAATGGTCTGGATCTCTTGACCTCATGATCCACCCGTCTCGGCCTCCCAAAGTGCTGGGATTATAGGCGTAAGCCACCGCGCCTGGCCCACATAGAACTTTTTGTTTGATCCCTAAAATGATCCTGTGTCAAAGGCAGGAATGCTCAGTAATCGGCCAGGTATGGTGGCTCATGCCTGTAATCCCAGCACTTTGGGAGGCCGAGGCAGGCTGATCACATGAGGTCAGGAGTGTGAGACAAGCCTAGCCAATGCAGTGAAACCTGGTCTCTACTAAGAATATACAAATTAGCTGGGCATGGTGGTGGTAACCTGTAATTCCAACTACTTGGGAGGCTGAGGCAGCAAAATCACTTGAACCCGGGAAGCAGAAGTTGCAGTGAGCCGAGATGGTGCCATTATACTCCAGCACGGGTGACAACAGCAAGATTCGATCTTGAAAAAAAAATAATAAATTCTCAGTAACGCTAAAGATGTAACTTTGACAAAGGTAGGATTTCTCATGATTTGTATACTTCAGATGACCTACCTACCTAACTTCTGATCATTTTGGGGATTATTATTATTTTAAGAAAAGCAAATTAGGGCTGGGAGCGGTGGCTTACGCCTGTAATCCCAGCACTTTGGGAGCCCGAGGTGGGTGGATCACGAGGTCAAGAGATCGAGACCATCCTGGTCAACAAGGTGAAACCCCGTCTCTACTAAAAATACAAAAATTAGCTGGGCATGGTGGCACGCGCCTGTAGTCCCAGCTACTCGGGAGGCTGAAACAGGAGAATTGCTTGAACCCAGGAGGCAGAGGTTGCAGTGAGCCGAGATTGTGCCATTGCACTCCAGTCTGGGTAACAACAGCGAAACTCCATCTCAAAAAAAAGAAAAAAAGAAAAAAAGAAAACGATTACAAATGTTCAATGAAGATAAACACTTATAAATCATTCTTAATTTTTTGTGAGCATTTTTCCTGACAATTATCTATATATTTATACATATTTATGTGTACTAGTAACATTCTGCATAAACTTCAGTTCCTTTGTTTCAAGTAAGGAACTAACATGTACATCACTGGCTAGAGTATGAAGTACAGAGTAAGAGGTTACAAACAATGAGAATAAGAATGTAGTAAAAGATGAGCTACTCAGAGAGGTAAGGAGCCGGTAAAGGGAAGAAAGACTTCAAATCCATCCATGGTGAAGTTTGATTAGCCAGTGGGACATGCAAGTGCCTCTGTGACTGTGGTAATGGGAGTAAACCCACAGACTGGACTTTATAATCATTTCTATATATTTGAGTGGAAGTCTTGAATCCATCTAGGCAGGGAAGGAGGTGGCAGCCAGAAGCTGGTTCACGGAGAGCACCTGGGCTACCGAAGGATTGAAATTGGAAGGAAATTATTTTGGGAGCAAATCAAAGAGAGAAATTATATGCCTTGCTGTTATAGATGGCTACAAATAGCATTATATCCTTCACCATGACAGATGGTTCAGAAAAGGGGGCTTTTATTAATGTAAAACCATACATAGCTGCGTATCCTGTGACTTGGCAATGTTTTGGGGCTGACAGCTGATAGAGGATTTAGCCATGTCTATACCATAATAGTATGTGGTGGGCTTGACATGGTGGGAGCAAGGGCGAGTGCTAACGTCACTGTAAAGACGTATACAATGACGTGCAATGGTAAAGGACAAGATATTGGAGAAATCTTGGAAGAAAAAAGAAAACACATCCATTAATTACGAACTTAAGTACTATTCGAAGTACAAACTGATATTTAGTAAAACAAGCTGGCTATGTTTTTCATTCATACATCTTTTCTGTTTGTCCCAAATTCTTTGAAGAAACAAAGGCCGTTTTACCTTTTTCCATCTATGTTTTTTTGCTACGAGAAATGTATTAGGATCATCCATATGGTTTCTTTTCTGTCAAAGAAAGCAAATTTTAACATTTGGGAAACATCTGGGCAACATAAGTTCATATTCTAAATCCTTCATTAAAACAAAAACTGTTTTTTTCTTAAACAGAGAGAGAGAGAGAAAACAAAAAACAAAAAACAAACAAACAAACAAAAAAAAAACAGGCCGGGTGCAGTGATCCCAGCACTTTGGGAGGCTAAGGTGGGTGGATCACCTGAGGTCAGGAGTCTGAGACCAGCCTGACCAACGTGACAAAATCTCGGCTCTACTAAACCCACAAAAATTAGCCCAGCATGGTGGCGGCAGCTGTAATCCCAGCTACGTGGGAGCGTGAGGCTGGAAAATCGCCTGAACCCAGGAGGTAGAGGTTGCAGTGAGTCAAGATTCCACCACTGCACTCCAGCCTGGGTGACAGAGTGAGACTCCGTCTCCAAAAAAAAAAAAAAAAAAGAAAGAAAGAAAGAACGAACAGCTGTTATCTACATCAGTGGTTTTCAAACTTTAATGTGTATCAGAATCACGAGGGCTTTTTTAACGTATCAATTACCCGGTCTCATCCCTCAGTGTCTCATTCACTGGGACTCAAGATTTTATCCCACGTGATCAGTACTGCTTAGACGAGAGGCTACACTTTGAGAACAGTGGATGTGTTTTCCATTGCTGGATGGATGAGAGGCTACACTATTTCAAATAATGGATGTTTTCCACCCCATTCCTTTTCTTTCTTCTATTTCTCTTCAAATTTTATCTCCTTCTTTAGTGGGTCATGGTGAGGATCAGAATATATTCATCAGCATTGCCTTTAAAGTTAAAAAAAAAATCAGCGATATTTCAAATAGCAATGCTGGAAATCACAGGTCAGATTTTAAAGGGAAAAGGAAACATCTGGAGCATTAAAACTTCTATTTCTCACCTGGACATCTTCACAAATGTTATTCTTGCCACTTCCTCCCTGTCCCTGTCCCCTTTGCTATATAGCTCATATCTCATAACGGGCCTTTTTTATTGAACGCAGGAAATGATACTTTTCAGGCAATGGGCAGATAACTCGCCAGTAGGAAGGATAGCAAGCATTCTGCTCTCCTGGGGGACGACACAAACCCCCACGTCCATGGACAAGTTTTCCTTCGTTTCCCAGCAGCCAGGGACATGTGTAGCATTTGGGCTCCTATAGTATTGTCTAAATTTCTCATCATATTGAATATGTACGGCCTCTTACTCTTGGATTTGCCATTTACTCCTAAATGCCTACTGGTATGGATTTATGTCACCTACATATTAAGCATTTATTTCGCGTCTCCGTTCTGATGCTAAGCTCCTGGAAGGCAAGTCTCACATCCGCTGCTTTGCTGGCAACCCGATTGCTAAGTACCATGTTTTAAACCTAGTTCATTCTCAAGTGTTTGATGCTGATGAGAGCAGCCACGTCTGAAGACCAATAAAGCAACTACTGGTTTATCGTTTGGGAGCTGACAGATTTTATTCTCTCATACATACACAGTCCAATTTCGCTGTAAAATCATAGGCCTAGAATGCGAATAATAATAATGAATTAAATAAATAAATAAATAAACGTACGGGCAATGCAATGGCTGCAAAACTATAAATTTAGGGATTAGAAATGTGAACCCACATTTCAATCCAAATTGGGGCAACCTAGAGACGGTAGTGTAGAAGTGTAGAGAACAGCTTTCTGTGATCTAGGCCATGCTGATGTAGGGTAATTGTCTTTTGCCTTGTCAAAATTGAATTGTGCTTTCTGTATTGATGGTGGGCACGTTTCTGCAGGTCTCATTCTAAGCTACAACAGGCCCTAAGAGGTGGAAGTCACATACCTGGATGATCTGCTTCTTGAAGTTGCTTGAAGATATCCTTGAGTCACTTTTATAGAAGGATCACATTAAAATGTCTCTGCATGTATATCCGTGCAATGCCACAACTGAGACGGTCATCTCACAGGTCCTTAAGTTAAGGGGCCTTTTCATTGAACGTAGGAAATGATCCTTTTCAGGCACTGGGCACTAACTTGCCAGAAGCGCGCTTTTCAGCTGTGCAAAGATTGATAATTAGATTGGGTTCTGCAAACTCGCACTTTTATTTGAAGTGAGTCGAATGCGTGTCTTAAGACATCATGTAACATGAATGGACCCTTACACTAAGGCACGTAGTCCACCCGCTGGTCATGCAGAGGGGAAAATGAAGGCCAAAAAGGTGAATTGACGAAACCTGAACGTTATCGGGTGAGAGCCGGCATCTCTGGACTGTGAGATCTAAGGCACTTTCCCCAGTTTGCCTGAGCGAATAGAGTGAGATTCCACAGCAAGGGACGTTTAAATTGCCAGCGCAAATGACGTGTCCCCCTAGGTGTGCCTGCAGTGCACCAGAGCGAACCGAGAGAGCAGCGCTGAAACCGAGAGCACGTTCACCGCTTCGCATCGATAAAGGGTAAAATGAGGCCAGACAAGCAAAAGGTGAAGCACCGAAGTCCTTTAAGGCTGCGAGTTTTATGACAGCAGCTTTCTGTGAACTTGAGATCCGATCGCCTCCCCACCGACAATGCCACGTTCCAACCTAGTTCCTGCGGTACTTGAGTCAAGCGCTCAGCTCCTCAGATGAGCAAGTGGTCGGCCCTGAAAAGGGCCTTTGGGATGGCACCGTGCAGAGGCGGCGCGGCGGCCTAGCCTCCGAAGCCGTAGAGGGTGCGGCCCTGGCGCTTGAGCGCGTACACCACGTCCATGGCCGTGACGGTCTTGCGCTTGGCGTGCTCCGTGTAGGTGACGGCGTCCCGGATCACGTTCTCCAGGAACACCTTCAGCACGCCGCGGGTCTCCTCGTAGATCAGCCCGGAGATCCGCTTCACGCCGCCACGCCGAGCTAGACGCCGGATCGCCGGCTTGGTGATGCCTTGGATGTTGTCTCTCAAGACCTTGCGGTGGCGCTTGGCGCCCCCTTTGCCGAGGCCCTTTCCGCCCTTCCCTCTGCCGGACATGATCGCTGCAGCCGGGAGCAGCTTCTGGCCGGGTGAGGGCCGCCCTCCCCTCATATACAAGACTACCGGACCGGATTGGAAACCGAAAGCGCGCCGGCGGGAAGCGTTCTCGGCTGTCCCCGCCCTCTCGACATGTCGTCACTTCTTTTCTGTTTTCCTCCGCTTCCTTCTCAGGTCCCTCTCACTCTCACCCTTTTTTATTTCCCCTCCTTCGTCACTACGCCACAGTCCTCGGGGGAATTCGGCTCCCACCCCGCGGCGTCCGGGTTCTGGCTTCGGCCCGTGTCCGGTCTGAGGCCGCCCGGAAGGCGTCGCACCGAGGCCACGGGAAGGTCTGCAGGGCGCCCCGGGAGGAGCCGGCGGAGGCCGGCGGCCGGCAGGGGCGCGCCCGCTCGGCGTTCGGTCCCGACGGACGGATTCCCAGCCGCGCTTATTCAGAGCCGCAGGAAGCGCCGCTCCGCCGAGGAGGCGGACACGCGAGGGGCGACCTCAAGGGCGGCGGTGCCGGGGATGCGGGCGCCGGGGCCGGCGGGAGGGGGCGGGTTCGCCGACATGCCCGGCCCTGGGCCGCTTTGGCGGACCGAGCCGCTCTGCTTTCGCTCACCCGGGAGAGATCTGGTCCCGGGAACACGTCTCAGCGCCGCCGGGCTTTCTCGTGGGGGTCGGCGAATCCCAACCCTCGGTCAGAGCCGTGCTGGGAGAAACAACGCGGTTCTCCCTCCGTCTCTGAGGGGGATCGACAGGTTCCAGGGCTCCCGCCGACACCCAAGTCCGGGATGCTCAGGTCCCTTGTAGAATATGGCGTAGGATTCGCGTGGAGCTATGCACGACCTCCCGCGTACTGCGAATAGTCTCTAAATTACTTTATAACGCCCAACCCAGTGCAAATGCTATGTAAGTAACTGTTAAACAGTTTTAATTTTTACTATCTTTTGTTGTACTGGGTTTTAAAACAATTCATTTGTTTGATACTTTGGATCTTGAGGAACCGGCGTATATGGAGGGCCTGCTGCCAGCATAGGGAAGACTGAGGCATGTTCTGTGCATTCCTTTCTGCAGATCCTCTAAATCGGCCTTCGTTCTCAGCCAGGATTGGGTGCCCCACGGTGTCCTTTGGAGGCCCCACGTGGAGCCAGCAGTTCGCCAAATTGGGTCTTGCAAGAGGACTGTCCGCTCCATACTGGGAGTAATTACCAGAAACTGCGCTATGAAATTGGTTGGGGTTCTTACTGTTAACGTGTTGATTACTTTATCAGGGCCCTCTGTAGGGGAGTCTGAGAAAAGGTCCCGGTTTCCGCTGAAAGAATCGTGTTTTGTAGTTTTTTTTCCCCCGACGAATATTTTTAATAACTTCCGTGCCCTGTTTAATCTCTCCCTTGGCTCCACCTTCTGTATGCTCATAAGTCCTAAATCTGTATTCAGACTTCTAGACTAAAACATGCAAACCCATCTGGGGGCTCTTCAGTCATTTTAAGCTCAAAACTCTAAATCTCCCCAAATCAAAATGTTTAAACTTTGAATCTCCAGGGTGTGACCCACGGAGGATGACAGAGCAGTTCTCTCTTTCCGCGTAACGCTGGCTCTCAAGTCTGCCTGTTGAACGGTTCCACCACCCATCACAGCATCTACCTGTCTAAACCAACACCCCAGCATGGGCAACACAGATCTTCCTCTCCCTTGACTGCTTCAGGGCATAGAAGAAACATGGCCTTTTCTGACTCTTTGGTAACTTGAAGAATCTGTCACATTATTTTACATCTTATATCTTGGCTGTATTTTCCTCACTGGCAGTGTTTTTTTTATTTTTCCCCATGTTGGCTGTGTGTTCCTTAGTGGCAGTGATTTCTTATTTTTGGGGGGAGGACGGATTCTCAGTATGTTGTCTTCTAGGCTGGAGTGCAGTGGCGTGATCTTGGCTCACTGCAACCTCCGCCGCCCCGGGTTTAAGGGATTCTTAGGTAGCCTCCGGAGTAGCTGGGATTACAGGCGCGTGCCAGCACCCCACCTTCTGTTTAGCATATAATCATGAAATAAGCATAAAAACGGGCAAACAGCAGCCCTCGGGTCCATTCTCTCTATGGAGTAGCCATTCCTTTATTCCTTTAATTTCCTAATAACCTTGCTTTCACTTTATATGCTTGCCCTGAATTCTTTCTTGCCGGAGATCCAAGCACCCTCTCTAGGGGTCTGGATCGGGACCCCCTTCCTGGAAGTAACACATATTCCAGTGGAATATGTTACATAATAAAGGCGGAAATTGTATAAGATTTGAGCTGTACATTACAGGTAGTATTAGGGAGCAGTAGAAAGGAGAAGGGTGCCACATTTTATCAAAAGAGCAGGATATTTAAGGAATGAGTTTATTTCATAACGGGGTAAGGAAAAAAGCTGAGGCTCTCATGAGACTCATGGCTTCTTCAACTTGGTCCAGGGCTGCAGACCATTCAAGAGAAAATCAAATCAGGAACCCACAAACCAAAAATTGAGCAGGTCTCAGCTTATGATACTTCTAACTCTGAGGGTACTTGAAGGGAAAAATGAAACATAATCTGTCTTACTGGAACATCTATTTTAACCTAGTCCATTTTGTATTAAAAGTAAACACGTACATACAAACCATTACATGCCTAATAATTCGTTTAATATTTTCCTTTGCCTGCTTATTGCTTGTGGTAAATTTTAAGCTTCTCTTATCTATTCCCCAGTGCTACCGAATGAAATTTCAGTTCTTGGTATTCAAAGGTACACACCCTTAGAATTTCTGCTGAAGGACACTTCAAAAATTCTAGGAGAAATATTCCGTCTCCGTTACAACTGCAGAAAAGCAGAGCTTCTTTGGCAGCATAAAGCTACTTCTGATAAAGTGTTGCTTTGAGACATTTCATAGAAATGTCACTCTCGAGTCCAGTGTGGGGACTAGGTGAAACTGAACTAACAATGGACCTGAATTCTGTTATTAAAGATGACTTCTAAGGCAACCACACATCTGGTTCTTTTATTCTGAGAAATGTTACCTATAGCCATTAAAAGTTTAGTATTCTGATTAAATCTTTTTCTTATTTAAATGAACACATCCATACATTATGGTCAAGAGTGCATACATTATAAAGTATATTGCAAAGAAATGTGATGCTTGGGTGGGCTGCTTTGAGCTATCATCCAGATTCCATGGGGTAGTTTTCCCTTCTGATGGGAATAGTTGGGTGTAGATGTTTGAGAAACACTAGATGGTTTGATTGCATCATGGGAAAACGCTTTTGTGCTTTAAAATGTATCCCCAGCCAGGTGTGTGGGGCTCACACCTGTAACCCCAGCACTTTGGGAGGCTGAGGAGGGTGGATCACCTGAGGTCAGGAGTTCAAAACTAGCTTGACCAATATGGTGAAACTCTCTACTAAAAATCCAAAAAAAAAAAAAAAAGCCAGCCATGGTGGTGTGTGCCTGTAATCCCAGCTATTTGAGAAGCTGAGGCAAAAGAATTGCTTGGATCTGAAAGGCAGAGGTTGCAGTAAGCCGAGATTGCAGCACCGCACTCCATTCTGGGTGATGGTGAGACTCTGTCTCAAAAAAATAAAATAAAAATAAATAAATGAATAAAGTATCCTCTGGGCATAATGAAATGGGAAGTTTCATCATTACAGTTTCTTTCTTTTGCTTTAGAACATTACTTATCCAGAAGTAATAATTTTTCTGAGACTCAGTTTTCTTATCTCTAAAGTGAGAAAAGTAACACCTATTTCACAGAGTAGGGATTAAATAATACAGTATACACTGTATGTTTGTTAAATAGATGTTTAAAAGTACAAGAACCTTTAAACACTTAGTGCCTGCTGTCTGAAAGGCATTACAAAACTACCACAGAGAGGGATAACATTTGCTCACATCAGTTACACCTTTGTACATTTTAGATCTCTCTAGAGGAGGATGCTTCCCATGAAAAACTCTCAAAGATATTAATTTAGCTAACAGATTTCTACATTGTGTTTAGTGTTCAGGAAGTACCCTGAAAATCACTTTTACTTTACTTTGACTTCAGTAGGAAGATAGTTCATTGTGACACCCTCAAAGTAAGTTTATAAAATACTATTTAAAAAAAAAAAAAAAAGAAACTTCTCAGGCCTGCCTTTCTCAGGTTTGAGTTTTTATAGTTTGCACGCAATGATTTTTCAATAAAATAAGCAAATGATTAAAAGTTTTATGTTAACCAGTCCAACTTTTAGTTATCAGTTACTTCTACATAACCATTATAATATTTACTGCTGTGAACAATACAGACTTCAAAACACATGAAATTGAAAAAGCAAAGCATCTTTACTCTCTTCATAGAAAACAGAAAAAAATATTAAACTTTTAAGCATTAGGAAACATTTTATTGAATAAAATATTAGCAAGTCAGCAACTGAATAATTCGTTTTGAAACTTTAACGGGTAATCTGGCTAATAAGCACTTACAACGTATTTTACATTGTAAAGGAGACATTACTATTTCTCGTTGTCCTTCTTTGATTTAGAAGGTATAATCTGCAGAACCTAATTGGCTACTCATGTGAGGGTGAGGAAGAAAACACATCGCAGGGGGAAAGGGCTAAAGGAAAGCAGAGGCTTTAATATCAGGTCGATATAGGTCAGCACACTACCCAGATGAAATGGCTTTGGCTGGGTTCGGAGGTCAAGTAAATAAGTTCAATTTTTTTCATTCCTTCAATTATATATTGTTTTGTTAAGCTTCGGTCATGCATGGTAAAATGCATGTAATTTGCTGAGCAAAGTGCCAGACGCGAAATAAATGTTAGCTAAGGTAGAAGTGCTACAGTAACAGGTAACTTGAAACAGGCTGATAGCTCACAGAAGGGCATGCTTGAATTCGGAAAACAAAATGGTTTAAATGGAATGCAAAACACTATACATTGCTTTTACAAAAATTACATCAATTTAAAGGAAAGGTTTTCAAAAACAATCTGTGATCGACAAAATTACAGAAAAGAATCTGGAAAAGGGGAATGAAGGCATGAGGGAAGATTAGCAAAACAATTTTATTCCCAGGTAAATAAGATTGAATTTTAACCAATGAGATCACAAGTTTGAAAATTTCTTCCTTTCAGGCCCAATCAAGAGGAAGCTATGTCTATAAATAGGACTGCCTAAACTCTCCTATCAATGAGACAGTATGGCCCGTACGAAGCAGACTGCCCGCAAGTCGACCGGCGGCAAAGCCCCGAGGAAGCAGCTGGCCACCAAGGCGGCCCGCAAGAGCGCGCCGGCCACGGGCGGGGTGAAGAAGCCGCACCGTTACCGTCCGGGCACCGTGGCCCTGCGCGAGATCCGGCGCTACCAGAAGTCCACGGAGCTGCTGATCCGCAAGCTGCCCTTCCAGCGGCTGGTGCGCGAGATCGCGCAGGACTTTAAGACGGACCTGCGCTTCCAGAGCTCGGCCGTGATGGCGCTGCAGGAGGCCAGCGAGGCCTACCTGGTGGGGCTGTTCGAAGACACGAACCTGTGCGCCATCCACGCCAAGCGCGTGACCATCATGCCCAAGGACATCCAGCTGGCCCGCCGCATCCGCGGGGAGCGAGCCTAAAGCGTGTTTTTAAGTGCTGGATCTAAAGGCTCTTTTTAGAGCCACTGCCGTTTTCATCAAGAGCAGCTGTACCGGGTCTCCAGCTGACGTGTGTCTGCCTTGCTCACTGGTCGGAGGCCAGGGACACTCGCAGTGGTGGGGGCGGGGGGCGGGGGGCGGTTGCAAAACCTAAAGCCTGGGTGAGCTGGCTGGCGATAGAGAAGGCCGCAGAGGCATGGTCCTTGTGGTTCCTGCCGAGACTTGAGGCTAGAGCTCCAGTTCCCAATTCTGTGGGGAAAGTTGTGCATAGGGGCAAGAGGCAATATGCCGAGTCCGGAGATGCGGAAGATCTGACTAGGGGTGGGGCGAGTCCCTTAAAAATTAAACCTGCTTCTTAGTTTATTTAGGAACTGTATAAGCAATTAAAAGCTCAGCGTCTTCATTGCGTACTACAGGCGGTGCTCAAGCCAGAATAGTAATTCAAGTTGGGGGCGGGAGTAAATACCTAGAGATCTTAAAAAGGGGGGCTGAGGTAATGTTCCAAGAACCGAGAGAACCAAATTTCTGCAAAGTATGGAATAAAAATGCAAAAAGAAGGTAAGAGTTATCTTTAGCTGGCGTTAAGGTTTCTTCTATAAGCAACTGCCAAGGAAAGAAGAGGAAGAAAAAACTTACCTCTTCACCTAGCTTAAAACCCGCTAGTGTGAAATGGATCATTCTGATTGGATAACAAGACTTTTGTTCCAGTGACCACTAAGGAAACACGACCCGAATCTATTATTTACATAGACTCCACCCCCTCTGACGACACCGTTGTAAATTAACCAATAAAAATGCAGCAGTGTGCGAGTCTTCATTTGCATACAAGCTCTATAAGTAGCGCGTAAGGAGCCCGTTTTGCCGTAGTCGGGATTACTTCTTTCAATCTCTTGCTTTCTCGCGCAAAAATGCCGGATCCAGCAAAATCCGCTCCTGCTCCCAAAAAGGGCTCTAAAAAGGCTGTCACGAAAGTGCAGAAGAAGGACGGCAAGAAGCGCAAGCGCAGCCGCAAGGAGAGCTACTCCGTGTACGTGTACAAGGTGCTGAAGCAGGTCCACCCCGACACCGGCATCTCGTCCAAAGCCATGGGCATCATGAACTCCTTCGTCAACGACATCTTCGAGCGCATCGCGGGGGAGGCGTCCCGCCTGGCGCACTACAACAAGCGCTCCACCATCACGTCCCGCGAGATCCAGACGGCCGTGCGCCTGCTGCTGCCCGGCGAGCTGGCCAAGCACGCCGTGTCCGAGGGCACCAAGGCGGTCACCAAGTACACCAGCTCCAAGTAAGGGTGTGCAAAGGACGAGACGGATCAACCACCTTACCCCAAAGGCTCTTTTCAGAGCCACTTCAGTGATCAAGAAAAGGGCTGTAAACACTTGTCAGAGCGTTGGATAGCTTTTGGTCAGGGAGGGAGGGTGACCAAGGTTGGATGCGTTCGGGTTTGGGACTGAGGAGTTTCCTGCAGTCTAGTAATGCGTTATCACTCGGTCATCCTCACCCAGTCTTACCGAGTCGCCTGTTACTTGTATTATGAGGCAAGGAAGTAGGCTTGACCACGGTTCTGGGGTGTTTTTGATTGACGGGGTTTCCCCACCCCTTCAATCTTGTACTTAGGTCTCCACAGTCGTTTTATTTTTTCTGAAGGTAATGAGGAAGCTGAGATTTCTTATCCAGATGAGAAATCTTTCCGTCCAACCTCTCACTACTTGCTGTTTCTCGGTGTTTTCACCTGTTTTCCTTACCATATCCTCCAAGCGTCTGTCACGAGCCTTGTGTAACATAGCCGTGTGCTTTCGTCCCGACTTGGTCATCCTCTCCTAACTTCCATTCCAGTGACGTAATCGGGGAGATATATTGCCACCGCCCCCACCCCCTGTGGAGCATTTGGCAATATCTGAAGATGTTTTTAGGTTGTCAGGTGGGCGGGGGGTGGGGGTGTGCTACAGTATCCAATGGGCAGAGGCCAGGAGTGCTGCTAGGCATAAGTCACAGGACAGTCCTGTTGGGGGGACAAAGAGCTACGTGGTCTATAATGTCCATCTTCGGTGATTAAGAGACCTCAGAGCCCAAGGCCTCCCTAATCATGACGTAATCTTCATTTCGGTCAAACTTTTCCTTATCCCTACCAGCACATGCTTTTGTTCTTGGTGGAAGCTGAGCGCTCCATAGGCCGTTTACAAGTCCTTCCCCACAGGAAAATACCTCCAGGGCAAGGACCCAGTCTTGGTTCTGTAACAAACTTCCCCAATTATAAGGATTATAAGAATTACCTTTGTGCTTGTTAAACCCGCTCCCAGGTGTTTCTCCTGCGGTTTCCCCTATTCAGCTAGGCTGGAGGTGTGACCTGGAGAGGTGGTTGGCTTTTAGTGTTCAGGAGTGTGGCATGTTTTAATAGATGTTGAGTCCTCATGTTAATTGACCTGTTGATGTGTCAGTCTTTCTGTGACAGATGTTCTGAGAAAGGAAACAGGATGAGTGGAGGGGATTGGGTAGAGAAGGCCACAGTTAGTATGTGGGGTGAATTTCTGAAGAACTCTCAGTTCGAAACTTGCGTAAGTCAAGACTCATCCTGACAAAAGCCAGTGGATGCTGCTTTTGCCAAATATACCGTTGGTGCAATTGGAGAATTAGTTTATAATTAACTTGACAACCTTTGAAATTAAGCCATTCTTGATAAATCTCGGGGGAATTAACTTTGTGCGTAAAGTGAATTTTACCGATTTTTATGATGTTGGAGTTCAAATGTATGTCGAATTAAAAGTTATATAAAATGTGATATACATGATTTTCTTTTTCTACTAGAAAATTAAGGTTCCCAGTTTAGTCATCTTTTTCTGAGGATCACCAGACAAGAAGTCGGAGAAAGATAACCGAGAATCTACAATTTCCAGTGGGAAAAAAATATATATAAATATGGCACATTTCTGGTAGGAAAGGTTACCAGAAGTGAAAAGGCCGAGGTGGTCTATCTTCTATACAGTTGGGACATAAGAGTCTATCCAATCTCCTAGTTTAGGGTCCTGAAGTCAGGAGTTCCTTTTTTCCTAAGGATTAGGAACCATGTGTTTCAGGTCTTTCGAAATTGTCAAAGCGTTGTCAACTGGCTTAACTACACAAATGCCATCATTACCCATTGACCAAAAGATTGACTTCCAAGTCCTTATCCTGAAACTAAAGGCCTTCGATTATCTAGCCAAAACTCGCCTTCATCAGTTGTTCTCCCCAGCTGTCCAGTTTAGCTTAAATGTTCTACTGGCGGGAAGCGGGGGCTCACACCTGTAATTCCTAGCACTTTGAGGCGGGTGGATCATGAGGTCAGGAGTTTGAGACCAGCCTGGCCAATATGGTGAAACGCCATCTCTACTAAAAACACAAAAATTAGCCGGGCATGTTGGTGCATGCCTGTAGTCCCAGCTACTCCAGAGGCTGAGGCAGAATAATTTTTTGAACCCGGGAGGTGGAGGTTTCTGTGAGCTAAGATTGCGCCACTGCCCTCCTGCCTGGGAGCAAGACTGTGTCTGGGGAAGTGTAGGGGGAGGTTTTAGTAAGTGTCCTGTAAAGAAAGCATCTTAAGTTTATCTTCTGTGCTTCTGCTACATTGTTCTGAGTTTTAGTACTGCAGTCTTAGTCCTCTAGACTACTTGAAGCTCCTTATCAATCTGCCAGTTCTTTAAACTCTTGCTCAAATCTCACTCTGAGAAGCCTTTTCATCTCATGGTAGTTCACAGGGAAGTCTTTCCCTTAAGGCCTCATTTCTTGCACAATGAACAATTGTGTAGTTTTGTAAACTGTAGCCTTATTCCTCAATTTCTTTTTCTTGTTTTTACATTTTCCCGTTCGTCTTCTACTAGAGACATATGCTTCTTGGTATTCCACAAAGCCTATCCCAATGCCTACTATAAAATAGCTTGTCAGTGAAAGTTTGTGGATTGGTTGCCGAGTCAACAGAACACTAGAAAACTGATCTGAGAGTGATAGGTTCGAGTACTCTAGTAAATATTTTTCTCTACTTTTTTCCTACGTATTTCTTTATCTTACTCCTTTAACCTGGCTACTCTTTTCATTATTGCCCTTCATAATTATTGGCGCAGTTGAAACAACTGTTACAGATTCAAAAATCCTCAGAGTGGTAGATAAACTACTACACTTGGCATCTTTCCCTTGAGCCAATATATCTATGTAGCCAAAATGATGAGATTAGAGTAGAGCTTTCTCACCCTGGCTGGAGGTGCTGGAGAAATGATCTGCTTTTCTAGTGCCTTGAAAAAGGATGAGAAGAGAGGTGCTTTCCGGAAGACAAAAGAAGGTGTGTAGTATTAGGATAAGGGGCTTTATGTATCAGATCCAGAGAACACTGCACATTAGAAATGGGCTCGGCCTGGGTCAGGGCATTGAGACTGATTACATAATCTTTTCAAGGATTGGTGAATGAGTTGGAATATGTGTAGAAACTACAAAGATGACAGTTTAATCTTTTGTTATAATTTTTAGACAAATAATGTATTTTAAAACTGGGTGCACTGAGGCAGGCGGATCACCTGAGGTCAGCAGTTCGAGACCAGCCTGGCTAACGTGGTGAAACTCCATCTTTATTAAAAATACAAAAAAAATTAGCCAGGCTGTAGTGGTGCGTGCCTGTAATCCCAGCTACTCAGGAGGCTGAGGCAGGAGAATCACTTAAACCCACGAGGTGGAAGTTGTGAGCTGAGATTGGGTCATTGCAATACAACTGAATTTGGACATCTATAGTTTAAGTATAGGACAACAGATAGAAAATAAGTACATGACCTCTGTGGGATAAATCAGGAATCATCAAAGAATGCCAGTGTTGAACAAGGAAGGAACAAGCTTGCTTTGGAGAATTACTGGATATTATGGAAGATATTTTTTCTGCGTTTGGTTAACTATAGCTGAACTATAGCAGATCATATGACTTGGCAAAAATATAAATCTGGAGGAAAAATCTTCTAAGTCCCATGATGCCAACCCGAACAAACTTTGAAAAGTAAAAGTAGGCCATGTGTTCTCATG